TCACATTGATCCCGGTTTAACAAGAGTGGCGTCAGTCCTGCACAAACCTCAGAATTTGGGTCTTTGTTTCCCCGTTGGTTTCATTAACATTTAGCGCCAGTACACTAGAAACCTCATGATAACGAAAGAAACCATACAATTTATGTTCTTTCTTTTTGCCTTTAGATTCAACTAGAAAATTCCTTGAAAATCTAGTCTTTCTTATTGCCATTGATTTAAAGTACAAACCTTATAGATTGGGTAATTTTATTGCCCTTTGTCTATAGTCTATACTAATAAAATAGAAACCTATTCTTATGGCCCTTGGATTAAAGTAGAAACTTATACTCATGACCCTTGGATTAAACTAAAAACAAATTATTCCTATTTCCCTTGGATTAAACTAAAAAAAAATATTCTTATTGCCCTTGGATTAAACTAAAAAAACTTATTCTTAATGCCCTTAGATTAAACTAAAAAACTTATTCTTATTGCCCTTGAATCAAACTAAAAAACGTATTCCTAATGCCTTTGAATTAAACTAAAAAACTTATTCTTATATCCCTTGGATTCAACTAAAAAACTTATTCTTATTGCCCTTGGATTAAACTAAAAAACATATTCTTATTGCCCTTGGATTAAACTAAAAAACTTATTCTTATCTCCCTTGGATTAAACTAGAAACTTGTTCTTATTGCCCTTGGATTAACATCCCACTATGTACACCAGAGCATGGGAAGATTGAATCTTTTCTTTATAACAGGATACTGTTGCCGTCCTTTTGCCGGATGATAAAACTTGGATGAAGTAGCATAGCATTGATCTCACAAGTTTTGTATTGAGTTGTCTGAAGACGCGATCTGATGATTGGGCTTCCCCTGTTTGACGTGTCTGTTTGTTGATTAACAGATGCCCCAATGGGCGACCGTCCCCATGAAAAGATGAAAAGCCGGCGACCAGCCTCGGCGGGATACATTCTTTCAGCGGTTTGCTTTCTCAGGGCCTGTTGTCTTATTGATTCATCTCGTCCTTTGGGATGGGTCGAAGTTTGGCAGGGCTTTACAGCTCTAGGGGGAAGTTTCTTGCTAGCAGTGGCTTGTGGAAGTTGTTGTCTTGTTGGTGTGCTGCTGCTCTGTCTCATCGAGGTCGTTACTTCTGATGTGTGGATGTACCCTCGATATGGTTGGAGTCTGATGGTGTCCCCACGGTCTTATGGTGTCCTTGGACTGGGTTGAGTCTGATGGTGACCCCTGGGTTGGGGTCTGATGGTGACTCCTGGGTTGGAGTTGAGTCTGATGGTGACCCCTGGGTTGAGTCTGATGGTGACCCCTAGTTGGGATTGAGTCTGATGGTGACCCCTGGGTTGGAGTCTGATGGTGACCCCTGGGTTGGAGTTGAGTCTGATGGTGACTCCTGGGTTGGAGTTGAGTCTGATGGTGACCCCTGGGTTGGAGTCTGATGGTGAGCCCTGGGTTGGAGTTGAGTCTGATGGTGACCCCTGGGTTGAGTCTGATGGTGACCCCTAGTTGGGATTGAGTCTGATGGTGACCCCTGGGTTGGAGTCTGATGGTGACCCTGGGTTGGAGTTGAGTCTGATGGTGACCCTGGGTTGGAGTCTGATGGTGAACCCTGGGTTGGAGTTGAGTCTGATGGTGACCCCTGGGTTGGAGTCTGATGGTGACCCCTGGGTTGAGTCTGATGGTTACCCTAGGTTGGAGTCTGATGGTGACCCCTGGGTTGGAGTCTGATGGTGACCCCTGGGTTGGAGTCTGATGGTGACCCCTGGGTTGGAGTCTGATGGTGACCCCTGGGTTGGAGTCTAGTCTGATGGTGACCCCTGGGTTGGAGTCTGATGGTGACCCCTGGGTTGGAGTTGAGTCTGATGGTGACCCCTGGGCTGGAGTCTGATGGTGACCCCTGGGTTGGAGTCTGATGGTGACCCCTGGGTTGGAATTGAGTGGCAGTGACAGTTCTCTCTGACAGACCTCGTGTCCCTGCATTAAAACGCTTACGTGTACAAGTGCTCGTGTTTGGGTGACCCTTGACCTGTGGTGACGTGCTGTCACAGCTGTAAGTGCTTTTGTTGTCGCCACCTTCAATAGTTAACGTACTAGAGTTTTTGTTTTGGTCGGGTTTATCTATCGATTTCCTCTTCTTCTGGACGCATTCTCCTCAAATATTCATGGCAGTTTGGATACTACATTTGCTGGATTCGTCACGAGAAATACTTGCTCACGCCTGGGGTTATTGCATTGTGTTGGGCTCATTAAAAACTTATTTAAGTCTTAGGCTAATACCATTAAATTTACAATTTTTAAATTAGTGCTTTGCAGTTTACTTTTCTCACTTAGCGGGGTTGGCGGGTTGGTAGCGACAGACTTACCGTGGAAATAAAACTATTGGTTGTGCGGGTTGGTACCGGCAGACTTGCTGCGATAAATAAAACGTGTGGTTGTGCGGGTTGTTCGTATCCCATGTACCAGAGCCCGACTTGATTGCTCCCTCAGGGCCAGCCCCATTTGTCTATCAAACATCTCCGTTACACTGTCTGATGTAAATCATCTACCGTCGCTTCTCGCCGCATAGACCCCCCACCCCCTAGAGACGTCACGCCGTCGTCTCATGGCCTACGTTGTGTGGGGATATTGGCAATAAGTGCCTTATATCAGAGGGCCCCACCTTCTGATTGACGTGACTGGCTGTGTATATGTTGTGACCAGATGGCACCCACAGTCTGACAGGTTTGTATTGAACAAGTCCTGCTCCAGCTCCCATACATCTCCTTGTATCTGCTGTTTTAAACCTGACATTACTCTCTTCGTGGCCTTCACTCAACATTCGACCTTTCGCGGCCCGGTCATTTGCATAAGATTACAAGAAATGATGGCATGGGGAGACAAGAATTGAGATCAAAGCTCTCCTTTCGGGTGACAGAACCAGACAAGATGACCTCCCTTTATGCCATCTTATCTCCCCTTTATGTCGCCTTGATAGCTAGCTCTTTGTCCCGTGTGGGATACACTTGCCAGGGGATGAAGAGTTGATACATAGTGTGGCTTTATCAACATGGTGTGTGGCTGTATCAACATGGTGTGTGGCTGTATCAACATGGTGTGTGGCTGTATCAGCATGGTGTGGCTTTATCAACATGGTGTGTGGCTGTATCAACATGGTGTGTGGCTGTATCAACATGGTGTGTGGCTGTATCAACATGGTGTGTGGCTGTATCAACATGGTGTGTGGCAGTATCAACATGGTGTGTGGCTGTATCAACATGGTGTGTGGCTGTATCAACATGGTGTGGCTTTATCAACATGGTGTGTGGCTGTATCAACATGGTGTGTGGCTGTATCAACATGGTGTGTGGCTGTATCAACATGGTGTGTGGCTGTATCAACATGGTGTGTGGCTGTATCAACATGGTGTGTGGCTGTATCAACATGGTGTGTGGCTGTATCAACATGGTGTGGCTTTATCAACATGGTGTGTGGCAGTATCAACATGGTGTGTGGCTGTATCAACATGGTGTGTGGCTGTATCAACATGGTGTGTGGCTGTATCAACATGGTGTGTGGCTTTATCAACATGGTGTGATATCTGTATCAACATGGTGTATGGCTGTATCAACATGGTGTGTGGCTGTATCAACATGGTGTGTGGCTTTATCAACATGGTGTGTGGCTTTATCAACATGGTGTGTGGCTGTATCAACATGGTATGTGGCTGTATTTTATAGTATCTCTGTATGAACATGATGTATTCCTGCATCAGCACATTGGCTACTAGCCGCTACAGTGAGACTGTTGAGTGTTTATATATCACACAGCATTAGTGTTTGCTTTCTGAAATATTTTGTTACATTTGGAAGAGTGTCGTCGTTTTTGTTTTTGTTTCAACAACTACCTGCCCACGGTACTTCACCTTTGTGTATGGCCTGTTTAACCACTCAGCTTAGTACAAGCTTTACAGGCTAATCTTGACCTTAGGGTGGAAATGTGGAAACATTTACACAGTTGTAATCTTTAATTCGCATAGTTCTACATGAAAGAATCACATCATTCAATAAGTAAAATAAATTGTCGAAGGTGACCTTTTTAAAAACTTTTTAAAAATATTTTTAAAATGACCCAACTACACTGATTCGTCTAACTTCAAAAACATATTATTTTAGGAATCGAAAAATTGTAAACTGAATTTTTTTTATATATTAGCATTTTTCCTCATAATATTTCCTGAGCTGCTATTTTTTAAAATTGTGAAACGATTTTTTTCTTATGAAAGTGTTGTAGAGTTTTTTAAAGCCATTAGAGATTTTGTTTTTATCGTATTCTTTAAGGAAATAAAAAGTGATTTTAATAAGATATTTTCTCTTGTCTTGTACCGGCTGCTACACCACGTGAGGCTGGCAGAGTTTTTATAAACCTCAAGATAATCACTAACCCTAGCTGTAGGCAGTTTTTATAACACTAACCACTGCGTTTGTCAACCTGAAGATAATCTCTAACCCTAGCGGTGGGCAGTTTTTATAACGCTAACCACTACGTTTGATAACCTGAAGATAATCTCTAACCCTAGCTGTGGGCAGTTTTTATAACGCTAACCACTGCACTTGTCAACCTGAAGATAATCTCTAACCCTAGCTGTGGGCAGTTTTTATAACGCTAACCACTGCGTTTGTTCACCTGAAGATAATCACTTCTCTAACCCTCGTTGTGGGCAGTTTTTATAACGCTAACCACTGCATGTGATAACCTTAGATAATCGCTTCTCTAACCCTAGCTGTGGGGAGTTTTTATAACGCTAACCACTGCGTTTGTTAACCTGAAGATAATTCTCTAACCCTAGCCGTGGGCAGTTTTTATAACGCTAACCACTGCGTTAGAAAAGCAATTTCTATAACCCCCATGATGACAGGACACGCATTATCTTAACTGCTAGTAAACAACCACTGAAGAATCATTTTTTTCCTTATTTAAATTTATTAGCCGAATGCTTACTTCTCAATATATCAAATGGTTTTATTATTTGACTAGTATAAGTCTTCTACTTATCTTTGCTAAAATATGAATGTACCAGTTTTTATCCAAATGCAATTTTAATTCAACTCTTTTGTTTGCGCTATCTTTGTGGCTTAGAAAGAGGAACATGTATTTTTTCCAAAGCAAGGCACCTGGTAAAATGGTTCTGATCCTATACGTACCGGCTCTTCCGGTTGTACCGGCACCCGATTGGCCAACTTGCCGGCCAGCGAGGTGAACACCCGGTCAACGTTGGCGCCTGTCTTAGCGCTACACTCAACATACATGGCCCCGATGGTCTGGGCCAGGGAGTTCGCCGTCTCGTGGTCTATGGCTCGGCTCTTGGCCAGGTCGACCTTGTTGCCGACCAGTATTAGGTCAACGTCTTCTCCGGCATGTTCGTGGACCTGTTGCCGACCAGTACAATGTCAACATTTTCTCCGGCATGTTCGTGGACCTGTTGCCGCCAATGTTCGTGGACCTGTTGCCGCCAATGTTGGATGTGGTTGAAGCTGGACTTTTGGCTCAGGTCAAAAACCATAACAATACCGACAGCATTTCTGTAATGAATCTTTGACAACGCTTGGAAACGTTCCTGCCCGTGCGTATCCCAGAGCTGTAGCTTGACCTTTACCCCCGACACGTCAACTGTCTTTGTGCTTGAGAGAAAATAAAGAGTCCAGAGTTGTGTCGGGTTTGAGCAAGTGGGTTGTAAAATGTGGGTTGTAAAATGTGGGCTGTAAAATATGTAACGGTTACCTGAAGTCTACTGAGCGGGTTGTAAAATATGTAACGGTTACCTGAAGTCTGCTGAAAGGGTTGTTTTGAAAGTGCTGTCAAAAGCTACCCGATCGTGTGTGTAGCGCAAGAGTAGAGTTGTCTTCCCCACAGCCGAGTCCCCCACCACGATCACTTTGCTGGAGTAGCTGCTCTCCTCCGTCTGTAATGGAGCGTTGGATTCACGTTGGTAGCTTACCTTGGTAACTCATGTTCTCTCTAGCATGGGATGATTGTTTTATTAAAATACATACTTTGTTCATCTCTGTCAGAAAAGATTATAAAAAATAAAACTTACCATTCTGTTAGCCAACAAACGCTAGCTCGCATTAATGCACCCGGGATGAAATGTTTTCACCCAAGCCACGTGATACGTCAGCCATCGATATTATCATGTGGTCGTGACACTAAACTTATCTCAAATGTCCAATCGTGATGTATAGTATAGACTGATAGGTTTGTAGTCACGTGACTACACGTTACTTACCAGCTTCGTTAGACATGAGCACTGTCAGCTGCTGGTGACACTATCGTCTTCAACTGGCGGAGCTTCGGTCTAAACAATTATCTGATGGTGTGTGAGCAGCTTTCAATGGTGGTTGCTCCTCTCGATTTGTTTCGCCATTAGCTAGCGACCGATGTTCAGTTGGTCAGTGAAATAAGTAGAATATAACACATTCTGAAAACACTGTATTATAAGCGTCTAGTTACATTTAGTGTTTGCTGGGACTTTAAAAAGGAAAGTTTTGGGCGTATAAAAATGATGCTGCTTTATCCATGTTTTTCCAAACTTAACTAGCCAAAATATTTTCTGCGTTTTTTTTTTTGTTTGAATCCCTATACTTGTGTTGGTGTTGTTGTTTAAAGGAAGTTTTTTTTAAAATTTGATGAAAACTTTAAGGTAGCTTTGCAAAATAGAGACAGTCAATATATTATCAGATAGTTTTATTACCGCTTTGAGGCCGCACATTTGAATGAAACATGCATGATACAATAAATGTTATTTGTACACATATACAATGAAACCTACATACTACATGGTACACATTCACGACACATGTACATTGTACATATTTACATAAAATTACACAAATCTATCTGTACAATTTACTTAAAGAAACATGCATCATAATATATCTTGAACACTTTTTTAAAGCATTATAAATGTATGCTTCGCACTATGTACATTGTTTAAATAAAATAAAGCCATAAGATAGAACTAGTCCACGAAATTTACAATGTAGAGCAGGAATCCGAGCCTAAACAGCCATAGCCATGCACCCTGTGAGATGAAATACTGACGGGTGGTCTCTGTGGGTGGGCTGTGATTCTCTCTTCTTGCAGCTGCTCCACCCACATGTCCGCCATGTTGGTGAACACCTGCTGCACGTTGGTCGCGTCCTTGGCGCTGGCCTCAATGTACTGGGCGCCGATGGCCGTAGCCAGCGAGAGTGCCGCCTCTCGGCTGACGACGTGCTGGAGGTCCGCCTTGTTGCCCACCAGCAGCTTGGCGCAGCACCCCCCGCCGTACTGCTGCGCCTCCTGCACCCACCGGCTCACGTTCTGGAAGCTCTCCATGTCCGTCAGGTCGAAGACAAACGCCAAGCCGTTGGCGCCCCGGTAGAAGCTGGACACGATGTTCCGGAACCTGTCCTGGCCCGCCGTGTCCCACAGGTGCATCTTGACCTGCACGCCCTTCGCCTCTAACGTCCGGATTCTGGGGAAGAAAGGTCGTTCATTGGAGGGTGGGTTTGGTACGGAGCTATAACAGTCATGGAGGTTGGATGTTTCAGTTAGTCGGACCTGTATCATTGAATAGCTGTATAATAATAGATTTAGAGCTCAGATAGTGAAGCTAGTTAACAGAGATATAACACCATTGTAATAGGGTAACAACGCTGATCAGAGGGTAAATACCCCGCTTGTAACAGGGTAAGCACATCTTGTAATAGGGTACCTCCCCTACGAGCAGAGAGTTTCTTCCAGGCATCTCTTCGGGGGGGGGGGGTGTATAAGCCCCCCCCCCCCCGAAAATTTTTTACCGCCCCCCCCCCCCCCCCCGAACGGAATGAAATTTATATAATTTATATAAAAAATATATACTTTTAACAGTGTCCGCCCCCCCCCCCCCCCCCGAAGAAAGTTTACCGCCCCCCCCCCCCCCCCCCCCCCGAAAATTTCAAGTGCCCCCCCCCCCCCCCGGAGAAAAAAGTCTGCCTACGAGTGACCCGATGAATAAACTGAGCCTTACCTGAAGTCGACTCCTATCGTTGTAATGTAGCCCTGGCTGAACGTGTCGTCCGCATACCGCAGCAGTAGCGAGGTCTTGCCGACACCCGAGTCGCCCACTAGAATAACCTTCATCACGTACTCCCCTAGGTTTGTTGCTTGGCTCATTTCCGTCTCACTCAAACTATTCTCTTTTAACTGGGAGCCTTGGTGTTCGCAGGTCAGGGTTGTGATCAAATCTACGATAACGGCACGGTGAAAGTTATTAGTTTAAGGAAATTAACTTCGCTAATGCTTTAACAGAGAGGAATTAGATGTGATTAGAATGTAATGTCTAATGTAATGTTTGAGCCGGTTATTTATACCCCATTTCTGTACAGCTATATTGTGTGGTTTGGCCAACGTGGCTAATGGTACGTGTGTCGAATTCTTTGACAACTGTATTTCTATTGACTGGGTAGTCGAGATGTGAACAAGAAGCTAAAAATAGATTGATCTGACTAATACTCCTTATCGGGAATTCCCGTCTTTAACTCTATAAAGCTTGTTTTGACGAAAGTGTAGGGGGGGAGGGGGGGCAATTTTTTTTTTACATACAATTACATTGTTTATAATTTCTATAGCATGTTGTACTTGGCTCATTATCCCCAATATTGCACTTTAAAATCACAGTTCAGTGTGTTGATTCATTGCTCCTGTATGTATTAGGGCCTACAAATACGGTTTGAAACACGTTTTATTGTTGATACTGCTTATGTAACTTTGTATCACTGCTCAAATTTCGTTTATGTCTTAATAAACATTTTTAATGATGTAATATGTTGGTCAGTTGAAGAAGTACACATTTCTAATGTGTTGGTCAGTTGAAGAAGTACACATTTTTAATGTGTTGGTCAGTTGAAGAAATACACATTTCTAATGTATTGGTCAGTTTAAGAAGTACACATTTTTAATGTGTTGGTCAGTTGAAGAAGTAAACATTTCTAATGTGTTGGTCAGTTGAAGAAGTACACATTTTTAATGTGTTGGTCAGTTGAAGAAGTAAACATTTCTAATGTATTGGTCAGTTTAAGAAGTACACATTTCTAATGTATTGGTCAGTTTAAGAAGTACACATTTCTAATGTATTGGTCAGTTGAAGGAAGTACACTTTTCTAAAGGGTTGGTCGGCTAATGCAAGTCCAGCGAGCTGGTCAACTGACCACTGATACAATATAAGCCAACAGCCCTGTTTCTTCCTGGTCAACTGACCACTGATACAATATAAGCCAACAGCCCTGTTTCTTCAAGTCCTTTGAGCCACTCAGGCCATGGGTAAAGCCAGGGGTGTTACTGACACTTGGATGAATTGATGACTTGCTTCCCCTAGTCCATAACCTTCTTTATCCACTTCATTCCCCCCCCCCCCCCCCCCACTTTAGCCCTCCTTCAGTCATGGACCAACAAGAGATCACTTTTGGCCCCTAGTTGAGTTGGGTGGCCCACTGACCATTGGCCATCCTTCAGTCATGGACCAACAAGAGATCACAACTGGCCACTAGTTGAGTTGGGTGGCCCACTGACCATTGGCCATCCTTCACTCATGGACCAACAAGAGATCACAACTGGCCACTAGTTGAGTTGGGTGGCCCACTGACCATTGGCCATCCTTCAGTCATGGACCAACAAGAGATCACAACTGGCCACTAGTTGAGTTGGGTGGCCCACTGACCATTGGCCATCCTTCACTCATGGACCAACAAGAGATCACAACTGGCCACTAGTTGAGTTGGGTGGCCCACTGACCATTGGCCATCCTTCAGTCATGGACCAACAAGAGATCACAACTGGCCACTAGTTGAGTTGGGTGGACCACTGACCATTGGCCATCCTTCACTCATGGACCAACAAGAGATCACAACTGGCGACTAGTTGAGTTGCGTGGCCCACTGACCATTGGCCATCCTTCAGTCATGGACCAACAAGAGATCACAACTGTCTACTAGTTTAGTTGGGTGGCCCATGGGGGGGGGGGGGGGGATAGCAAATTTTCATGTTTTTTTTTAAAATGTAGATACATGAAAATATTTGAGTGTTGTTTTTCTTGAGGTGTATATAGGCCTACTTGATTAGTTCTATCAAGGATATATTCATTTTGTCTAAAACTTAAATCTCTATCTGAAATCATATATTCAGTATTGATCATTTATTTCAAAATTTAAAAGTTAGTCTGCTTTCTCTCACAATCATCATCTTTTCCTGTTTGTGCTCAAGATTTGTTTCCCTAACATGAGTTAGGTACCCAACAGAGCTGATTGGACTCAGGGAAGCTCTACTGATTTGAAGCCAGATCCAAACTCTAGACCTCCATGTTAGCAGTCTAGCTCCTACCGCTAGGCCCCCTCTCCCAGAATGATCTAGACAATGTTGGCACAGATCTGTAGCTCTATGATATTTGACCACCATTTCTGTGATCCCCAGGTGCTGTCTATATTTGCCTTTGCTACAACCACACCACTGTAGAAGACATGATATTTAACCATTTAAGTGATCCCCAGGTGCTGTCTATATTTGCCTTTGCTACAACCACACCACTGTAGAAGACATGATATTTAACCACCATTTCTGTGATCCCCAGGTGCTGTCTATATTTGCCTTTGCTACAACCACACCACTGTAGAAGACATGATATTCAACCATTTCTGTAATCCCCAGGTGCTGTCTATATTTGCCTTTGCTACAACCACACCACTGTAGAAGACATGATATTCAACCATTTCTGTAATCCCCAGGTGCTGTCTATATTTGCCTTTGCTACAACCACACCACTGTAGAAGACATGATATTTGACCATTTCTGTGATCCCCAGGTGCTGTCTATATTTGCCTTTGCTACAACCACACCACTGTAGAAGACATGATATTTAACCACCATTTCTGTGATCCCCAGGTGCTGTCTATATTTGCCTTTGCTACAACCACACCACTGTAGAAGACATGATATTTGACCATTTCTGTGATCCCCAGGTGCTGTCTATATTTGCCTTTGCTACAACCACTAGTCATGACACCTCTACTACCTTCACTGTGCTAAATTGTGATTCAGACAACAAAACCCATAAATATGTTTATGAGTATGGATATCCTTACGAGTAAGTCATTCATTGGTTACCTTCATAAATAAATAAAATACTACATTCTAATTATGGCTATCTTCATGTTAAAGCGGATACAAGAAAACTTTAAATTGTTAAGAAAAGGAATGGATTAGCCTTATAAAAAAGTATTGAGAATTTTTTTAATCAGTGGATTAGCCTTAAGTGAAAGTATTGAACATTTCATATCAGGCATTAACACTATTTTTAGCTTCAAATGTGCTGTGTAAATCAATAAGAGAAATTTATTTTTAAAAACAATTTAAAAAGTAAAATGAATGAAAAAGTCCTAACTGAAGAGTGATCTCCCTTCTCAGCCTGGAAAGTGTATGTAAGGACGTGTGTGGCAAACAAGTCTGCTTCCTCTCTGGCTCGAAGTCATCTGCTGAGTTCTACGTGTTTGTTGGTGTCATTGTGTTCCTGTACTGCCTGGGGGCACTGGTGCTCTACATCTTCTTTGATGACTTCTACAGGAGAAACACAAGAGTCATCATAGCTGTAAGAGCTCTTCTCTTATTCTCATTAAAGCTGTTTTTATAGTTTTAAATTTTTAATATATTACCACAGGAGATTATATTTTAATAACAAGTCAGATTATATTTTAATTAGTGATATTTCTTTTTGTTAATAAGAAAATAGAATATGCGACAACTTACATATTGTTCATTTTTTGTAAAATTTGAAACATTAAATAAAACTATATTCAGAATTCTCAATGAGAAAAATTAAACCTTACAAAAATGTATTAATGAGCATTTTTTATGTAGATCCTTTAAGTTCTAAGATATGTATTTGTTTTTTAAATTGATTAAATTATTGTTTTGACAAAAAAGTGTTTACCCAGCTTTGTGATGATGAAAATTGCCATATTGAACTCTGTGTTTAGGACTTTGTCATCTCCATTGTGCTGACACTGCTGTGGATCATAGGGTCCTCAGCCTGGGCTTCTGGGGTGTCTGACGTCAAGATGTACACTGATCCAGTCGATGGCGGCCTCTTTACTAAAGAACGCATTCCAGAATGTGCTGCGGACACGAAGGCTTGCACAGTAGACAGCCTGGGCAACTTCGCCAGTCTTAATGTATCCCTTGTAAGTTGTTGCCAAGTTTAACTGGGTCCACTGTGCTCACCACTTGATTGAGCTTTTTTTTTAAAACAAACACTAGACATTTAGATTTAGATTGGGGGAAAACATAGGTCCTCTGTTTTATAAATAATCAAACATTTATTGGTGGGTGTGAGGGTGGGGGGTTTTATGAAGCGGTAACGATGGAATCCAATAACACACAGTTTAAGTTCCAAAACAAAGTTCTTTATTCACATGTATATAATCATGTCCTACCTAACTAGCTATACTCTCTACTATTTACTTCTGCTACTGACTGTTCACTATACTACTAACTACGCACTCCCATGATCAATCCTAACACTAACTACCGTTCTCTAGCTCTACATATTACGACCGTCTCTAACCGCTTCCTAACACCTTCTGCCCATCGCTCTACTGACCCACGCCTCAGTGGTCAGCTGACCGTCCCACGTGACCGGTCAGTCCTGTGCGCCCATTGGCCTCTCTAACCAACCAACTAGGCCTATAGTCTGTTTCTGCTAACCTATATCTGCTAAACATGTCTGACGTAATCTTGCGTCATCACATATCTCCCTCCCTTTCTGTAGCTGACAAATTATATTTTTCAGCGTCTGCTACTAATCTAATACATCAACAACTATCTATCTTACTACTCTATTCTATCCCTAACATCAATCATATAAATCAAATACAAAATGGGACAGTACAGTTTACAAAAACATAAAATCTTGTGTCTGTGTTCCTGAAAAAAAATGTCATTGTTTTCGTTCTTGTGTAGGTATCCTGACGTCTGTAGTGTTTCTGCTTGATAATGTATGTCTATGTTATGGTATGTGTGAATTCAATCATGTGTAACTCAGTTCTGGCTCGGTTGTCGTGTACTGACCTTGAGCTAATCTTAGTAGAATGTGTAACTGGTTGAACGGGCTCTGCGAGCAGTGTAAGTGTATGTGTTATGTAATTGCTGGCGTTCCTCTGTGGTGGGTGGGTTGTGGCGAGTTTTGATGTAAATTCCCGTGAGGCGGGTGTAGGCGTAACTTCGTTGGTCAATGTGATGACGCAACAAACTCAACGCTGGTTGAGACGTCCACGTAGAGTGGTTATACGATGAACTGGAGCTGTCTGATGCGGTGGCGAACAATGACGTAACGTTCCGACGCTGGGAACTTGGACGATGGGTCTTCTACCCTTTGTATGTGCCGACGTAGGTGTATGTAGCTGGCGGCCTGTTATTCAACCCCAGTGCGGGGGCGAAGCGGTGGCGATGCGTCCGCTGTCTTGACCAGGGCAATTCTCTGTTAAGCAGGTCTGTCCGCTGTCCAGGTAATTCAACGTAATCAGGGTTTCAGGTGGCGGCACTCTTTGAAGTGTCGGCTTCATCTAGTCTCATTCTGAATAGCGCTGGTGGGTCTGAAATTGTATTATGAGACCATGAGCAATGGCTTTACGTGACCATCTTAGTGCCCGCGCAGACAAGTATTCAGACAGAGGTACCTTCCATTTAAAAAAACCTCAATCCCAAATTTAAACGTGCTGAACATTTGTCTGGCAATATAACAAACATTAAAAAATAACATTACAACATAACCAAATAAAAAAAAATCAGTACACTCTAATCTAACAACAATCTGTAAAGCCTAATAAACTCAATAGACGTAAACACTACTAGAGCTTAGAAATAGCTTCACAAAAAGAATAGACATGTGAGTGTGTATCGTGTCATTTCAACACGTGATCATATAGTGGAGCAGCTCTCACTATCTGACTTCTGACAAAAAACTGGCTGGCTTGACTTAATGACTGACTTCACTCATGACTTCAGTAACTTGACTGATTTCAGTAACTTGACTTATTTCACTTTGACTTCAGTAACTCGACTGACTTCAAATTAACGACTGACTTCACTTTAGACTTCAGTAGCTTGACTGACTTCACTATGACGACTTATTTCAATTTGACGACTTACTTCACTGACTTCATAAACATCACTGACCGACTTGGACTTCACTTGACGACTAAATTCTCTTTAACGAATAACTTCACTGCGACAACTAAATTGACTGACTTCATCTTCATAGACCTCTGACTGACTTAAAATGACCTAACTTCGACTTCAACGACTTAGACGACTTAAACGTCTTCACTTTGACTTCAAAGACTTTTCCTTGACTTCAACTACTTCAATATGACTTCAAAGACTTCACTTTGACTTCAACAATTTCAATATGACTTCAAAGACTTCACTTTGACTTCAACGACTTCAACTTTGACTTCAAAGATTTCAACGACATCACTTTGATTTCAAAGACTTCACTATAACTTCGACGATTTCACTTCTTCACTATGACCTCAACGACTTTAATATAACTTCAAAGACTTTTCTTTGACTGCAACATGACTTCAACTACGTCACTATGACCTCAAATACGACTTCAACAACTTATTGACTGACTTGACTGACTTCAAATAACTTCTTCGACTTCAGTTCTGACTTATACTTCACTGACTTCAATAACACAATTGACTTCAGTTTGACTACACTGACTTCGACTTCAACTATATCGACTTCACGCCGATTTTCTCGACTACTTAGATCAACACAAAAACTCGACTTGACTTCACTTTTATGTCCGTTGTTCAAAATCATTTATGGGGACGGTCCGGGTCACATTTTTGATCATGGGGTTGATGTTCTAGGGCAGTTGCGTGTTATCTATGTGTTGTACTTTCCGTTTCACTAATTCTAACGCTAACTCTGCTTTTGTTCTTGACATGTTTTACTATCTTGACTATCTTGTTTCCTAACTTATTCTCTAAAGATGTTTCAAATTCTTCTTCTTTCTTGTCTAATGGTATGCCCTGTTTATAGCATTGAAACTCTGCCTCCATGGTTGTGTATGTGTATGTGTGTGTGTAGAGGAAAGTCAACAAAACTAAGGCAACATGGCGTAACATAAGAATGTATAAGGCAGAAAAACCGCTGGCACAAACTATCCAGCACGGGTCTAAACCCAAACGTTTAAATAAATTTTGGAAGGTACTTATCTTTTTGGACACGTTGACTGTTCCCTTGTGTTGGTAATCCAAACTCGCTCCGGCTGAAGAAACCCGCTGTTGTGATGAGTTAGAGAAAGCAATACACCAGTCATACTCCGTCATGAATAGCTGATATACGTTCTTTCCCTCACTCGACCCGCGCTCCGCCAGATGTGAGGGTGGGGATTTTTAAGATGGCGGAACGTATGAATCCAATAACACACAGTTTAAGTTCCAAAACAAAGTTCTTTATTCACATGTATATAATCATGTCCTACCTAACTAGCTATACTCTCTACTATTTACTTCTGCTACTGACTGTTCACTATACTACTAACTACGCACTCCCATGATCAATCCTAACACTAACTACCGTTCTCTAGCTCTACATATTACGACCGTCTCTAACCGCTTCCTAACACCTTCTGCCCATCGCTCTACTGACCCACGCCTCAGTGGTCAGCTGACCGTCCCACGTGACCGGTCAGTCCTGTGCGCCCATTGGCCTCTCTAACCAACCAACTAGGCCTATAGTCTGTTTCTGCTAACCTATATCTGCTAAACATGTCTGACGTAATCTTGCGTCATCACAGTGGGATTATTTGACTTTGTGTTTACAAATACTTTTTTTGTTTAGTGTTAACCTGAGTTTGCCATCTTTGTCTTCCAGATCTTTGGATTATTTTGTTTAGTATTAACCTGAGCTTGCCATCTTTGTCTTCCAGATCTTTGGATTTTTAGTTTGGTATTAACCTGAGTTTGCCATCTTTGTCTTCCAGATCTTTGGATTATTTAGTTTAGTATTAACCTGAGTTTGCCATCTTTGTCTTCCAGATCTTTTGATTTTTAGGTTAGTATTAACCTGAGTTTGCCATCTTTGTCTTCCAGATCTTTGGATTTTTAGTTTAGTATTAACCTGAGTTTGCCATCTTTGTCTTCCAGATCTTTGGATTTTTAGTTTAGTATTAACCTGAGTTTGCCATCTTTGTCTTCCAGATCTTTGGATTTTTAGTTTAGTATTAACCTGAGTTTGCCATCTTTGTCTTCCAGATCTTTGGATTTTTGAACTTCCTGGTCTGGGTTGGTAACCTGTGGTTCCTGTACAAGGAAACCCCCTGGTTCAAAGTTCAAGCTAAACCACCCACTGAACCAGGTACTGTCTCAGACAATGATCCTCAAAAGGTTTAGCACCTGCACACAGACCTGTGGCACTCCAGGGCTTGGTCTAGAACCAACCCTGTAGAGTTAACACCTGCAGCAAGGTTACATACACACCATTTGTTCTGGAACTTTCTATTGACTGCCTGTGCATGAGTCTTGAGATTCATGTCATTTAATATTTGATCAAGTTCAGTTTGTGGATGCTTGGCTTTAAGTTAAACCTTGTACTAGAGACATCACTGTACTAGACATCCTTGTACTAAACATCCCTGTACTAGACATCCCTGTAATAGACATCCCTGTACTAAACATCCCTGTACTAGACATCCCTGTACTAAACATCCCTGAACTAGACATCCCTGTACTAGACATCCCTGTACTAAACATCCCTGAACTAGACATCCCTGTACTAAACATCCCTGTACTAAACATCCCTGTACTAGACATCCCTGTACACTAACCTTTGAGCCAGGCATCCCTAAACTGAAACCAACAAGAGTGACTTACATGACTTGTCCAGCAGTAGAGGATATAGAATCCACCACCCTTCCCAGTCTCTTTGCCTTCATTGTTTACCCCAGCTTGTTGTCCCCCTTGGTTGTTGTCCCCCTTGGTTGTTGTCCCCCTTGGTTGATACTTGTGATATCTGCTGGTCCAGGGTTGTGTTTGCTTCTTGTCAGTCTTGTAGAGTACAGGTAACCCTGGGTCTTACTGCTACATGTAGGCTACAGGTAGCCCTGGTCTTACTGCTACATGTAGAGTACAGGTAGCCCTGGGTCTTATTGCTACATGTAGGCTACAGGTAGCCCTGGGTCTTACTGCTACATGTAGGCTACAGGTAGCCTTAGGTCACTGCTATATGTAGGCTACAGGTAGCCCTGGGTCTTACTGCTACATGTAGGCTACAGGTAGCCCTGGTCTTACTGCTACATGTAGGCTACAGGTAGCCCTAGGTCTTACTGCTACATGTAGGCTACAAGTAGCCCTAGGTCTTACTGCTACATGTAGGCTACAGGTAGCCCTGGTCTTACTGCTACATGTAGGCTACAAGTAGCCCTAGGTCTTACTGCTACATGTAGGCTACAGGTAGCCCTGGGTCTTACTGCTATATGTAGGCTACAGGTACCCCTGGGTCTTACTGCTATTTGTAGAGTACAGGTAGCCCTGGGTCTTACTACTATATGTAGGCTACAGGTAGCCCTGGGTCTTACTGCTACATGTAGGCTACAGGTAGCCCTGGGTCTTACTGCTACATGTAGGCTACAGGTAGCCCTGGGTCTTACTGCTACATGTAGGCTACAGGTAGCCCTGGGTCTTACTGCTATTTGTAGAGTACAGGTAGCCCCGGGTCTTACTGCTATATGTAGGCTACAGGTAGCCCTGGGTCTTAGTGTTATATTAGAATGCCTTTCAATGAACAGAAGGTACAACAACCTAAAGATTGATAGTATGGTTTTGTTAGCCATGAATTAAAATAGTGTGCAAGTTTATCCCTTTTATCCCACACCTGCACATACCTGGGTTTTTTTTTACCTGTTGGTTTACCAAAGGCTACCTGTATGAATATTTGTTTGCTTTCTATGTGAGGTGTGTTTGTGTGTAGCTACTAGAATCCTGTGTGTGTTGTGTGTAGCTACTAGAAGTTTGTGTGTAGACAGGCTGTGTAGATTTGACAGGACAAGTTGATGCCCAGCAAACCAAGTGAGGAACATGTGTAGCTTTGTGTGTGTTGTGTGTAGCTACAAGAAGTTTGTGTGTTGTGAATAAATCCTAGAAGTTTGTGCTAGAAAGGTTGTATAGAGCTGTCCTCACAAGCTAGCTAACCTCTGGAGATTTGGCTTTACTGTCTGCCTATTTATAATACCACACAGATACTTTTTTTTTTTCAAATTAAGTGTATATCCAAATATTTTATAGAATTGTTTTGTTCAACTGTATGAACATAATGTATTGTGTTGAACATTTTAAATCTTCAGCTTTGCCAGAAGTCTTCAAGAACTGTGTAGCTTTCCACTGCTGTTTCATGTATTTTCTTTAGTCCACATCCTTGCTTCACTTTATTAAATGTCTTAATGGATAACTTTTTAAGTTTGTAACCCTGAAACATTAACTGAGAAAGTTTAGAAAGCTATCCTTGTGTGCTGCTATTGTTGAAGCTGTTAGTAGATCTATGTTTCTGTGTGGCAAGTAGCTCTAGACAGCCCCAGACCTCTTCTTCCCAATGCTCAACTCTGAGAGGTTTTTCTTCTCTTTTCCAGTTCCTGTTTTCTCCATAGAAAATGCATAGATAACTCCAGTGACAGCTCAAGTTATCTTGTCTTTAGCTTAGTCCTTACACAACAGCCCGCCATCAGTATAGTAGACAGTGTGATACCATCTGTGTGTGATACCATCTGTGTGTTAAGCCATTCATGTATGATGCCATCTGTGTTGTGGTATCATCTTTGTATGATACCATCTGTGTGTGATACCATCTGTGTGTGATACCATCTGTGTGTTAAGCCATTCATGTATGATGCCATCTGTGTTGTGGTATCATCTTTGTATAATACCATCCATGTATGATACCATCTGTGTGTGGTACCATCTGTGTGTGGTACCATCCATGTATGATACCATCTGTGTGTGGTACCATCTGTGTGTGGTACCATCCATGTATGATACCATCTGTGTGGTACTAACAAGTCCATCACCACTGTGGTGGTCAGTGTGATACCATCTGTCTATTAAACCATCCATGTATAAAACCACCTGTTTGGTATCAATACCATCCATGTAAGATACCATTGGTACTACGTGTCTATGTAGATGTACCACCATCCATATGTGTGTTGTGCAATGAGAATCTCAGGATCTCATATCTATTAATATTATATTATGTTAATGTTAGATTGTAACTTTTGTTTAGCTGTAACACTAGTAGCAGGCAATCAGTTTCATCTCAACATTTATAAAGATGATTTAATTGTGGTAATGACTTCAGGATTAATCTCAAGAGAAACATGGGGTGGGGTGGAATTGAAGATACCAGGGGAAGTAACTAATGATGTTGATACAAGGGAGATAATGTTCGGTCATTTGAAGGGTAGAAAATATTTAAAGATAATCAAAATAGAGACACCACAAAGATAACCAACAGAATCTCAATAAGATCTTTATTATAACTTTGATTTATATTGCTTTAATTTATAACTTTGATTTATATTGCTTTAATTATGTAAGTTATTAGTGGTGTATGGGAATTTGTCAGGCTGTATGGTATGCCCTTTGTGCTGCCGTAAGTGGCAAGTGTTAGACAGTTTGTGTTAGAGCCTAACAAGAGATGACATAGAGGCTAGCCAGTTGTTGTAGCTTTTGATGACACTGAGGGTATCCACCAGCAGTGGCACCCACTCATTATAAACCTGTCCTCTCCACATCCATTGAATGATGTCCCATGGGTTATGCTTGTGTTGATTGTGTACTGTATTCCCCCAGGCCAACATAGTCCCATTACTGGAAATGTGTATTAGCAGAGACAGTCCTGTGTAAGTAAAATATGGGCTAGCTAAGTTTGCATCTCTTTGGATTCTTCTGATTTTATCCAAGAGGTTTCTTTTTTTTTTTTTTTTTCTTTGGATGTTTTGTGGTGGTTGGAGTCAAAGCAGAACATTTCTCTGACTAGATCTAGTCATGAAACCATGAAAGATAGAAACACTGACATGAATGTGTAAGTTTGACAGCAAGTAAAGTGACTAGTTCAGCATAAAGTTGACATTACAGTCACTGGTTCAGCGTAAAGTTGACATTACAGTCACTGGTTCAGTGTAGAGTTGACATTACAGTCACTGGTTCAGTGTAGAGTTGACATTACAGGCACTGGTTCAGTGTAGAGTTGACATTACAGTCACTAGTTCAGTGTAGACATTACAGTCACTGGTTCAGTGTAGAGTTGACATTACAGTCACTGGTTCAGTGTAGAGTTGACATTACAGTCACTGGTTCAGTGTAGAGTTGACATTACAGTCACTGGTTCAGTGTAGAGTTGACATTACAGTCACTAGTTCAGCGTAAAGTTGACATTACAGTCACTGGTTCAGTGTAGAGTTGACATTACAGTCACTGGTTCAGTGTAGAGTTGACATTACAGTCACTGGTTCAGTGTAGAGTTGACATTACAGTCACTGGTTCAGTGTAGAGTTGACATTACAGGCACTGGTTCAGTGTAGAGTTGACATTACAGTCACTAGTTCAGCATAAAGTTGACATTACAGGCACTGGTTCAGTGTAGAGTTGACATTACAGTCACTAGTTCAGCATAAAGTTGACATTACAGGCACTGGTTCAGTGTAGTTGACATTACAGTCACTGGTTCAGTGTAGAGTTGACATTACAGTCACTGGTTCAGTGTAGTTGACATTACAGTCACTGGTTCAGTGTAGAGTTGACATTACAGTCACTGGTTCAGTGTAGAGTTGACATTCAAGCACTGACAAACTCCATTATTTTCTCCACTTGTCCACTAGACACTCATAGTTATACAATGATAAAAGCATTTTTTGTTACACAATTATTTTTCTTTCATTCTTGTGGGTTCTTGTTTTTTTATTATTATTTTACTACTATACATTAGTATCATTTGTACACTTTTGTATGCAAATCAGTAATTTTAAAAAATAACTTTTTCTAATAATATTAAATATATACTTAATAACATAATTTGAATTATTTTATATATTAACAATGAAATAATGATCTGTGTAAGAACTTACACGATGAACTAATAATTTATCCTAATACATAAAATAAACAAATAGCGACCATTGACTGGTTGGGTTCTCTCCTGCACACAGGTGGATGCATGTTGTTAAGATTGCAAATAAATCTTTTGTTTACAAAAACTCTGAGAGAAATGTGCTTTCCTTGCATGCCTCCCCCTTTTGTTTGGCTTTTGCTACTTTGTTGCTGCTAAATGGTGTTTGTGTGTTTGTGAACCTAGCATGTGAACAGCCAGGCTACCTAAAGACATGTTGCTTCTTGATGCTCACTGGATGCAGCCCCTTCAATACATGCATGTGTTTGTCCCATAGATCAGCTGTAAAAACACCTTGAATGGGTGGCAACAACATAACACATTGGTGGTGGTGATCAGTGTAGGAACAATGGATTCACTCTACACATTCAATCTACCAGCAGCCAAACTTGAAATATACAATAGAATACATCACAATATCAACCTTTCACTTTTAGTTTAGGTACAGAATTAGTACAACACTCTAATATAAAATATTTGAAACTGGATAAAACTATATCTAACGACTGAAGAGAAATGAACTTACAAAACTTAAAATTGTGGAATGTTAATTTTGTATGTGTATGTAGCAGCTGACAGTGTCAGAGCTATGTCTAGATGTGAAAACTCTTGGCTTTTATGTTGGTTGAATTGGTAAACACAGCAAAACTTAGACACACCATGATGATGTGAACTGCCTTGATTTTTATGGGGGCTTCAACTTTCAACATTATTGAACTGTCGCATATTCAATGGATTGATTCTACATTCCCAACTGTAAATCAAATGTATTAACACACTACATTATACTTACAATAAAGCAGTTATTTTTTGTTTCTGCTGGATAATCACAAACAAATAGGGATAATTAATACAAATAATACAAGCAACTGCTAATAAAACTGACATTTATAATTGTATTATGAATAAAATAATAAATAGCTTTAAGTGTCTGTTAATAATCATAAAATGATTTACTTGGACAAAACAAAACTTAAAATTCTTCTTGACATAGTAGTTAACTTATAAATGGTATAGAGCATCTTATCTCCAATAATATACCAAACATCTGGGGTGTCAATTGACTAAATGTGAGCTACTCAGGGGACCAAACTCTCCTGAAGGAAGTCTACTAATCAACTCATCTTGTGTAATATATTTAAGTTATACCAACTATCAAACAAGTAATGTACAACTTATATAAGTAACTTGTTTTATTCCTACAATTTGGGGTAGGTTTAAATTGAAAGTCATGTGATAAAATGTGTTATCAAGAACCATTGTGCAATATTCAAATATCCTAAAACTTGTTCATAAGGACGTGTAAAATGAGTGGTGGTTGTTAATAATGTAAAATAACTTGAAGTGGAAAGACGGAATTACCATACAATAAACTTACATAACAAAGGCTTCTGTGTGTCTGGTGCAACTACCATTCGGAAACATGACAACACGTGCAGTCACTTGGATAGATCTGCACAGTCAGCAGTGTTTAGTGTTGTTAAAAAAAATAGTCACCTACGCTTATTGCTGCTCACCGCTTGTTTCTGCTCGCTGGTTCACATCTGATATGCTGTATCAAGCCATCTCAGAGAACCTGATCATCCTCAGCTTGTTACATTTTTTATGTACAATCATAAACTCCAGACTTGCCATAATTAAACATAATGTGAGGGTACAGATGTTGTTTGACTGGATGTTTGCGTGAAGCTGTATTCAGTTTGTACAACCATTGTGTATGGAGTTTTGCATACTTAATATGAGCATTTATATTTGTATGGAATTCATACTTTGTATAACCATTCTGATTTGTTTGGAGTTGTATTTTGTATGACCATTGATCCCTTGTACATATTCCAGGTTACCAATGAGGAAGGGGAGAGAATGGCTGACAAGTCAAGAACTTCTGAACTCAGTCCTTGAGCAATAGATGTAGCTTAATGTTTTGTGACACCAGTTTTTCTCTTCACAATCACACACGGTTTTAAAAAATAGTTTTTATTGGGTGATATAAAGGTTGACTTCATTTTAGTTTCACACACTTTTTAAAAAATAGTTTTTATTGGGTGATCTAAAGGTTGACTTCATTTTAGTTTCACACACTTTTTAAAAAATAGTTTTATTGGGTGATCTAAAGGTTGACTTCAAAATAGTTTTATTGGGTTATCTAAAGGTTGACTTCATTTTAGTTTCACACACTTTTTAAAAATAGTTTTATTGGGTGATCTAAAGGTTGACTTCATTTTAGTTTCACACACTTTTAAAAAGATAGTTTTATTGGGTGATTTCATTTTATATTCACAAACTTTTTTAAAAATAGGTTTTAATTAGGTGATATCAGGGTTGATTTTACCTTAGCTTCACAAACATTAAAAGATAAATACAAATGGTAGCTGCAGTGAGGTTAATGATTTTGTTTTAGAGCAGTTAGATAATCTGCTACCCAAACTTTAAAATAGATGTGATTCAGGTAATTAGATGGTTGATTTTTATCTTCCCACATTTGTTTTGGGCTGTAAAATTGCTGAGTTGGATGACATGTATTTACTACGTGCATTATGGGCTTACTCCATTTTGAAATGGTTCTACATTTCTTTGATACAACAAAATTATAACTGAACAAGTGTTGTAAAGGTATCCAACCTTTATTCACGCTTGGGTCAACTACCCTATGCAAACAATCAAAAATGAAAGAAAAAGGACAGATTTTTTCACCAGCTGTAAAGATAACAGTGTAAAGCTGGTGTAAATAGACTGATGATCCACTCACATTTTCAGTCCACTGCTCATTCACATCCCCACAGAACATTTTAGTTTGAGCTTTATGAAGGTTTATATAACTCAATCAATCACACCTTTTGAACGTGCAATATTTAATTCTTAAAATACTACTCCGTGAGTAACAGGATTAAACTTGTTTTAAAATGGGTTGGAATTAAAAATTGGATTTGTATCAGCCAGTTCAGTTGAACTAGTAGTATGGTAGTAAGAAAGATAACTCAAGCACAGCGAACTTGATGAGATGTGAGGGAAGAGAAAAGCTGTGGTCCCCTGACACAATGACATGAACTGTATTAGGATGTATTATCCATGTGTCTGTGTAGTCTAGTCCTGAGTAAAACTTGGCTTTAACTGTGTGCTGTTGTGTTGTGCTCAATGTGATACTATATGAGAGGATGAACTCTTCTTAGTTAGTTCTCTGTTAAATCACTAGTTGCAGCTGTTTTGTGTCCATTTCTTGAATGTACTAGCCACTGTGATTTTGGTTTGTAAGTTGATCTTAAATTGTTGATGTAACTCTCCTGTTCATGCTGGTGCAGTATCAGATGTGATTGGTTTTAATTCTGAGTGTGTAGTCATTTTTGTACATAGCTTGTTTTTCATCATTTTGATTAGAATTTTTTTTTTTTGTATATTTTTGGTGCTAACCTAATTTTTTTTTTAACATGAACCATAAAGTACCACTTTTTTTTTGCAACCATAATCCAACAATTGTGTGCATATCATCAGTGTACTCCTATGCATTAATATGACTAAATGATTATATCACAGGTGTATGTTAGCTGGGAAATTTTTATTTTTTTAAAATTAAACAGATATTTTCTAGTCTCAATTTTTTTTATTTTGTATGGGTCTGCTAGAACTAAAGATATTCAGTATTTTTATTTTTTACTTTTAGGCTAACAATACATTTAATTTATCATTCATTTATGTGATTTGAAAGATACTTTAAGCATAAATATGATAATAACAGTTGATTTTTTAATAGTTTACTGTATAACATTTTCTACCCACTAGCTTCTAGCAGGCTTACACTAACACTTACTCCACCATTTTAATTTGTGTACAACTTGCTTTTTGTCAGAATTTAATTTCTAGTTTGTTTTATTTATTTGCCAAGAAAATTGAAGAAAAGAATTGTTTATTTTCTTGTAACCACTGCACGTTAGATGTGCTCATCAAGTTTGATGGTATTTTAGCCTGAGTATCATTCCAGAGCAGATCTGTGGGTCTGACTTTTATAAGCATATACATGATTGTGCCAGTGTTTACATATGGACATCTTTTCAATAAATCATAGACTAAACAGGTTGTTTTCTGTGTTCAGCTTGATCAAAGACTAAATCAGGACTTGGGTTGTTTTCTGTGTTCAACTTGACATAGACCTTTCAGATTCTATAATAATTTTAAAAATTATTTTTAATTTCAATATAAAATAATGTATGCAGTGTCTTCTACTCACCTTCCTGTTGTTCATAGTCACATTAAGAACACACCCCCCCCCCCAACCATTTCAGTGCATAAAATCACAGATGGTTGACCCCCCCCCCCCCCTTTACATATTGATGAGGTTCAAAGGACACTGACAGACAACATGTAAGATTACCCCACATTACCTTATAACTCGAACATAATTAACTTCACAGTGGTTGTATGCAATAGTTTATATATCACATATTTACTCTTCCCCCACTCGATTGAAATACGATGTATATAGGACATACTTCAACCTGTGTCCGCTCACTCCCCTCAAAAATTTCAAATCCCCTCTTTCCCCCCCCCCCCCCCCCCCCCCCCTAAACTGGCAGATGTGGCTTCTAGCTGGGAACAGCACTCGTCACAGAAAGAAACATCTAAAATCACACAATTGCTTAAGTTAGGCTATGGAACTGGAAGCAAATCCAGAAAGAACAACAGGCTGCCCGCAGTCAACTTGCGATATGGCGCATTATACCTTGGCACATAATACTCATTTATATATGGGAGGAAATAGCCTCCAAAAAAACAAGGACGAAGAAGAATATTTAATAAAAGTTAGACATTACTGAAAAGAATAAACCCGTTGGCTACATCGCGAGCTAAATAGCACATGGTAAGGCCATTAGACTTACAAGTAAGTCTAGGCTATATTAAAAGTATATTTTTAGAGAAGAATTGAATTAGGGAAAGGGGTACCGTGGACGTCATAAACAGGTGGTAGGCCTAATGAGTACCAGAAACAGAGGTCATTAACTCGATGTAATGTTGCATAGAGAAAATACATTTAAAACGTGTCTATACAAAGAAACCCCAAATTAAATTCAATATCCTACCTGAATTTTTTGATCGATCTGAAAGGAAAGATTAGGGGGGGGGGTGTAAAAAAAACAAGCGCTGATCATATTTATAGGCCTATAATTAGCCTATATTTTAAAAACATTTTTCTGTAATATTGCTGTTAGCCTACTAAACAGATTACACTTTTAATATTAAAACAAGACATTTTTTTTCGGAAAAGAATACATAAATATCATGTGTATAGCTTACTTATTTGTTTATTAGTATTATTAGCAAATTTTATTTAGATCTAGGTCTATACACAATACGAGGCGCCTAAATCTTATTGATAAGATAGATGGAAATAGAAGTAGATTTTGAAATGATCGCAAAAAAAAAGAAGTCTTAAGAATTAATCTGGATTATCTATAGTAGATGGACGCCTCACAGAAAAAGAAACAGAGAAGGTCAAAGGAGATGTGGAGTCGTACTACGGGGGTAAGCATCTGGCTGTGGCAGGACTGTTGGGGGGGGGGGGGGGGAACTGCAAGGAAAATTGCCGGAGACAGCACAAGCGGAGGGAGCTTTTTGTGGCGGCCCTGTGTCTAGGCACAAAAATCAAAAAGGGAAAAGATGATGTAATGTTATTGAATTAATATTTAATATCGTATTGTGGAAGTAATTTTTAAGAGATACGTTAATTTTGTATGGACATCTAAAGTAGAAGCGCTTTGCCAAAGGGTGTCTAAACTTTTAGCTTGTTTTTTATTTTTATATTGATGCTCCCTACGCCTACTGGTGTTGTAAAAATAAATATTGCAAATGATTGATTTGTTTTCATTCGTAGCGCCTCCATGTTACTTCCATATTTTTAATTAACTATGAAAATAATAATATTAACAAGTTCACGCGCATGCGTACCATTATTATTCGTTTGAAGTTGTTAAAAACTTACGATTGATATCATTGGTTCAATTTCGGGGATTCCTTGGTCGATTTCGCTCCATGGCCAATCAAAATATATCTTTTATTACGTTTACATTGAACCACCATTGGCAGGCTTAACAAAAATGGCCGACGATCAAAAAATTTGTTTACAAAACGTTGAAAATTCCCATGAACATTTAAAAATGTCAAAATTAAGCTCTGTGATTGGCAATGCAAATAGTTTTAATAATCCCGATTCTTCAGAAGAAGTGAATAATGTAGGTGTTGAAAGTGATTTTAATACGAGTTGTGGTGAAAATTTACAGCAGAACATGCCTGCAGCAGACTCCAAGTTGGGTGAACCCGAACATGTCTTTTGTCACGTAGGAGTGGAGCAGGGTCATAAAACATATTTTTTCCAACCTGAAGCTAACGATGATGATTATGAATTGTTCTCTGACACTGGTTCAAAGCGTTTAAAACTTCACATCCCTCAAAACCACTACCAACACAACGGTAACAATACATTTTTTACTACCTCACCGACTGGGGATACACAAAGTCCCGATGGTAAACGAAAGCGGATACATCATGATTATCGAAGATTATCAAGTTCTGGATATGTTGATGATTATGAAAATGGAAAAGATAACAGATTTACTTCTCCAACAGATGCAGACATTTTACCCATTTCACCAGGAAGAAAAAGCGTTTCTCCGAGAACAAAATCACCCGTAAATAATTCAAAATTAATTTATCCGGAATCTTCAGCAGATTTTAATATTAATTCTGACAAGTACTCTGGTAAGTTCTAGATCTAGAATTCTAGATATAGATCTATCTAAAATTCTTACGTTTTGAAAGTTAACAGTATCACTCGGTTTCACTTTAGTTAGATTAGACTTGAAACTAGTCTTCTGTTTAAAATAATTGGCCCCTAAAGCCCTAAAATGTTTTATTTGAATTTTAACTAAGTAGTAGGGCCTAAGTAAGTAGATCTAGTCATACGGTGACTAGCGCAGAAAACAGTTCAGTAGTTCCAGCTGCCAACAGTCTTTTAGAATTTAGGCGCACTTATTGTCTACTTTGCTATTGAAACAAATATCGACATTTAGGCAAGGATTTTAAGAAATTAATATTGCAAGAATATTATTTATAAGATTTATATGAAAAAAATCAAAAGGTCAACCCCCGCGCCCAACTCAGAAAAAAACAAACACTTTTCAATGAAGTAATCTCATGATAGGCCTACAAATAATTTATTTAACTAGCCTAATTTCTATGATTAATGTAGAAAATAGGTCCCCCTTTATTTTATTTGTAACAAATAGGCTTTTTTTTTTTAAAAAAAATTAAAAACATTTGGCCTAGGGTTTAAAAATATTTACTGTAGTTGCAACAGTAAACACTAATGGCAGGAAACAGATTAGTACCGCAAAATGCATATTCGATCTTCGCCGTTCATAAACTTTCTAACCAGACATCGGTCGGGGATTTTGTTTATACTAATAAATAGAGCTATGTTTTTACAAGCTTCGTTAGCAACATTTTTGTGGAATACGTTTTTTATGACATTTTGTGCCGCGGCGAAGGATGCGAAGTATGCAAATCTAGACGGAATGGATCTACTTGGAAAAGTACGTGTACTGCACTAATAAGGTAAGAAATAATATTTTGTAAAAATAACTATTATTTTTATGGATTTTTCATTAGAAATGATTGCTGTAAATTATGAAAGTAAAAAAAAGTATATTTGAATGTGTTTTTTACTTTAATTTGAACAAAGTGAATGGCCATAATTACGACACATCGGCGTCGTTGAAAGCGGGGATTTCAGTTAATTTTTTACGGATATAAAATTGTATTTTTTTCCTCCGAGGCATGTATTTAAATAACAGTTTAGTTAAATGTATTTAATTCTGTAAAATATAAGTATTATTTTGCCGTAGATACTTTAAAAAAAAATGTTTATGATTTTCTGTCGGGGAAAATCGATATTCGCACCATGCACGCACGCGTAGTAAAACTAGACTTATCTTTAAAACACGAGAATCTTGAGTACACTGCGAATAACAAAGTTTTTCAATTTTAGTTTACTTTTGACTTTAAGCCATTTGTTTTAAATCGAAATTAATTGATAATGTAATTATTTCAAAGTAAAAATTTTCCGTCTGATTGGGTTCTAATCTTCGCCCACTGAACCAGCCTACGCACGACATTCGCGCGAGTCTGTTTCTTCGCAATAGTCTGTATAGTGTCGAGGGCTAATTCTAAAAAGAATCGAGTCCTTACTAATCCAATGTTTATTAAAATTAGGTACAATTGTTGGAACGCATGAGAAATAACAAATTAATATTTCTTTAAATCTATAGCCAAAAGAAAGTAGAACTTTATAACTCTGTAAATTATGAATCGAGTGACGACTGTCGTGAAAACGGGAGCCATTTTACTCTTTTTTTTAGGGTGACCTACTTTTATTATATAATTTTAAAATTCATCGTTTTGATAAGCAGCTGAGTAGCTGACTACGCATGCGATATGGCTGGCACGTTTTGGGATAGGGATCGAGTACACAATAGAATTTTTTTCTTCTTAGAACTAAGCGTATTTTTTTTTAAAATCAAAAGATACTTACATATCAGTTGTTGATTTCAATTTCATTATAGAGCTAGATCTAATCACTAACTTCAGTTTTTAAAAGTGATTTTGCATCTAGATCTAGCGTATTTTCAAAATTACGTAAATCTAGATCTATTTTTTAGATCTAGATCTACTTACAACCGTGTCAGTAAAATGAGGTCAGCGCTTCCAGATTCTTAGGTTTTAATTATGTTTGTCATTTTGATCTATTATAAGTAGCATTAAAACAACTGCATCTATTATCAACATTGTTTTTATATGCCAGTTCTAATTATACATTCTGTTCATTACCAATTCTAATGAAATCGTATCAGGCCCTAACACCCTGTTCACCTACACTGACATTACACTTGAAAGACGCCACAGAGAGTCGTAACTTTAAATTAATGTTTTAAGTACTAAACAATTATAATTAGCCATGTAAATGCTGCAACTATATTAAAAATTGGCATATAGACATATTTTATTAATTATGTTTTTTTATATAGACCTTCTATATTTAACTCTGTTATTTTTTTCTTCCTCAGAGTGTTTCTAAAAGCCAGAATTTTAAAGGGGAGGGCGGTCGTTTTTTTTTCTCAAGAATAATTATAGAAATAAGCTATAAACTGGTATATTTTGTAAAGTTTGACATAATTACAAATAAATGTATGCCTAAGTGACATTTCTGTGTAATTATATTGTTAATTTTGTGAATTTCGTGTATTTTTAGACCTCACTACATTTAGATGTAAAAAAAAAATCTCAGTTGAGTGAGTGTGGTTAATCTACATTTTGAACGTGATGTAAATGTCTAGTGCTATTAATTTTTATATTTTTGAATTCCTCGATTGTTAAGCAACAAAATTGATATATAATATGTCAATAATTGTTACTTTGAAAATTGGCGAAAATCGACCCTAAAAGTAGATGCTTGAGGGTTGAATCTGTTTCCTGCCTAATTCAAAGAGTAATCTAATAGAGACTTAATTTAAGCCACATGAACATCTGCATATTCGATATTTAATTAACAGTATTGAAGGCTTAATAATAATGACACAAAATATAACTAAATTAATTCCATTAGTAGGGGTGAGCGTGGTCAAGTTGGTATAGCTCATGGTCACTAAACTGAAAAGTCTCAAGTTTGAACCTTCGGGCAGATAAGGCTCGACAGTTGGGGATAGCAACTCATCTAGGAGAGACAACTCCAAAATCAAACAGCTGCTGCCTTTTAGTTTGTTCTTGGTTGGACAAAGGCTATGGAAGCAAATCCAAAAAGAAAAGCAGGCTGAAATCCAAGTCAGAGGTGTATATGACGCAAAAAACAAGTTGACACGTATACTTATTTGTGTTGAAAAGAATCTCTTTCTAAAATTAAGAACACAGAAGAAGAAGAAATGACTATCTAAACAACAGCTTAAGCCATCACAGTGCAGTTTATAGTTTATAAAAATCTATTTAAAATTATGATTTAGGAATTGATTATCTAAGTCAATTTGACTGATGTCACAAAGATGTAATTCATGAAATCCACTACATAATCACTGCTAAATTAGTATACGACAAATCATATTGAAGTTTTATCCAAAAAAACTTATATTAGTTTTAAAGTTATCCCTAAGACACTTTTTAGACTGCTTAATTTAAAAAAAAACTGTTACACTGATGTAAAATACAAGTTATAAAATAAAAAATTCTTCCTAAAATAAAATAATTGTTATTGTTAGAAGCTTTAAACCATTTTCAAGATGTCATTTAAGTGAGCAATTGGCAGTTTACTTTTCTTCACTTTATTCAGTAATAATTAAGTAAAAATCAGTGTAAAGTAATATTGGGTTACAAAATATCAAAATCTAATTCTTCAAAAATATTGCTAACAAAGCTTTCAAAAACATATTTCTATGTAGTATTATAAACATCACAATGTCAGCTAAAGAAAAGTAAAGTATGAGGATTGTAGACAAAACGTTATTTACAATAAAAAGCTGTTGTCTGCGGTAATATAAATTTCAGGACAATACATTACTGCATTGGATGATTTTTTTTTGTCAGGGTAACATATTAGCAAACAATGGTAAATAGCATTGGTGTAGTTGCTGTCTTGTGTAGCATTCTTGGATATTAAAAAGTGATTATTACAAAGTAACTAGCAGTATGGTAATTATCCATTCTTCCTGTAGTTAATGAAAAATCTATCAGAATCTATGTTGGCTCTCAGGAACCAATTTAAATTATTTTAAATGTATGATTTAAAGTGTGCTCACTTTTAAAACATTTAATCTTCTCTTTAGTAGTTGCCCAAAAAGAAGAGATTACTGCATTAAGTGAGAGTTGCTTGCTGTCTGGGTCACTACCCATCAACAATGAAGTCCTTGCAGAACGAGAAGTCTCAGATGCCACAGCCAACCATAACCAAAAACACCATCGCCATCATCGACACCATAGTCATACTTTGTCTTCTCAACATAAGAAGCACTCAAGCAAGAAGCATGAAAGTACCGGTGATAATTTGGATGGAGAGCGAGAACTACTACAGATTTCGCCTTTGAAAATAGTAATACGGGATCCTCTGAAAGCAGCTTTGAAATCCAAATCCCATTCAACAGCTAAGGAAGCTAATGACAGTTTAAACCATGGTGTAAATAATGATGTTTCAGGGGCTACAAATATTCCTGAATTAGGACCTGTTAAGTTTATTACAAATAATTCATATGCAGATGATCATTCTTTAGTAAATAATAGTTCTTTGAATACCAACATAGTAGAATATCAAAAAGCAATAAACACTGTCCCAGCTGCTGTACCTGTATGTTTAGATACTTTACACAATCATACAGGCCCTGAGGAGCAAAGCCACACACATGTTTGCCTTGAAGAGACTGATCAAGCCTCTACCAATGTAGTGATCAATCTTGATCAAAAAATGGTTTATTTAGAATCAATTGTTAAAACTCTTGATGACAAGTCCTTAATTAATTGTGATCATATAACTGAGGTGAAAACAGAACTGGGTGACAGTACCAGTAGTTCTGAAACTCCCAAAGACAGTAATCTTGGGAAAAGTAGTTCACTTGATGCAGATCAGCACACTGTTTCTTTTGATGCTTGTGGGGCTAAATCTAAAGAACTACAGGATAACTTACAGCCTAATTATACTGCTGATGTAAATTGTGATATAAAAAATGTAAAAAAGGTGAAACCAGAATCAGGATGTAAATCTAATACTGTAACTAGCAATAGCATAGATAACAAGAAAGGTGACATTAAAAAACCTGTAGCCCTATCATCATCTGTGTCTTCTGTTTCTGACGCATCAACCAAAACGTCTAGAGAAAAACCTGTTCCTTCACCCAACAAGCATCATTCATCAAAAGAAAAACCTACGGTTTCATCATCAAGTACAACCAAATCCCATTCATCATCATCATCAACTAGTGTAAGTAAATCAAGTTCACATTCTCACCACAGTGACAGGCACAAATCACAGCAAAGTAAAGAACAGCCTTCGCCTGCTAGATCATCCTCTCATTCATCATCTAAAAGTGTCAACAAAGATCTTAAACATTCATCTTCAAGATCATCCAAGTCCAGAGTAAACAGAGGAGTGCAAACAGATCCTACAGAGTTAACTTCTGAGCCCACCAAACCACAATGCCAAATGAATTATATGGAGAGTTTATATAGGTTAAATATGAATTCATCCTATTTTCAAGACATTATAAAGCCACAGTTTAGGAAATATATCCACATTGAAAGGTATACAAATGGGGGGGCTTTTGTTCTTCACGCTTACCATGATGAGCTTGCAGACATGGATAGTGCCACCATGGAGCAGTTTGTGGATCACTATTTTGATTTGGTGTTTGGTGAAGTGATGGAGGGAGAAAGTAGGTTTGTGATGGGGATAGTTCATGGGGCAGCTAAACCAATGCCTGACTTCCTGGATTATTTAGTCGAACATTTCCCTAATCTAACTGTGAAAACTGGGAACAAGGGAAAGTCAGATATTGAAACAACAACTATAGAGAAATTTAGAGAACAAGTAAGTAGAAAACAATAGAGGGATTATTTTTTTTTGTCGTAGCATTATATTTGTGGTAGGACAAGATGAACTACACATTAAAATCATAACTTTCAGCATCTTGTAGAGTATACTAGTGAAACACCATTTTTAAATCAGATTACACAAATTTTAGACATGTTATTTTTGTCAGTGAAAACCTGTTGACATTTTTTTGACTTTAAAAGTCAAGTGTTCTTTTAAGCACACTACATATGCCGTTAGTAAATAATTTGATGTTTTGCTGTGAATATTTGCTGATCCCAACTTGCTAAAATTTTTTTGGAATTGTTAATTATTTATCAATTTTTTTGTTATATGTTTAATTTTTGTTTTACTTTTGAATAAACATAATTGTATTTTTAAACTGTTGATAGACATTGTGAATGATAACATTTGTAAAATTTGTTTTTTTTTTCACTCCCAGATTGATCAAACCTACAAGGGTGGGGTGTTTCGTGGTGGAGGGTTGGATCAGATAAGTCTTGTAGGAACAGTAAATGAGGAAGTTGGGGATTTTTTCCCTGACTTTCTGGATGAGCTGGAGTCTGATCCTTTCATTAGAGCTGTCACACCATGGGGCCGCTTCTCTAAGGAGAAAATGGAATCTCGTAAAGAAAGTGATGATGGTCCTATTTTGTGGACCCGGCCAGGAGAACAGATGATCCCCCCTGCTGAGCTGCCCAAATCTCCTACTAAAAGGAAGCGGTGAGTAGAAATTAATTGCTCCATCTTTTGTGTGATCGCACCTTGTTTCCCAAGTGCTGGGCTTGACTGTTCTGAGAAAACAAATCCAGTAAACTGAGTAATAAACATTATAGGCTTAACTGTGAGAACTTGTAATATAAATGGAACAAGTGTGGAACTGCTCCTGTCAATTTTTGCTTTTTGTTACTTATAATTATTTTTTTTATTGATGGTATAGTTATAATTGAAAAACAGTACAAAAACAAAATATGTAATTTATAATATAGATAAATTATACTGTCACTGTACTATAACCTCGTTTAAATAAATAATCTTGAACTTGTTACAAAAATTTGTTGTTTACCATAGCACCTTGCTCTACCTGCTCTGAATGTTGCCTGTTAATATCTCCAGCGGAGCCAATGAATTAAAAAACCTCCATTATTTACCTCGAGCTTCTGAACCCCGTGAGTTCCTCTTTGAAGATCGTACAAGATGTCATGCAGATCATGTGGACCATGGACCTGAGCGCCGTACAACCGCCGCAGTGGGCATGTTGAAAGCTGTTTATAAAAGGGGAGACAAGTAAGTCTACTACAGCAGGATTCATTCATCAGCTTCTCAGTAATTTGTTTTGTATTTAATGAATTAAAAACTCCATTCCAGTGAGGAATATAACCCACCAGAAGGAAGAATTGTGAAAGATGTTGTGTGCTTTCACCCTGGAGATTTTGCTCAGCTCACTGACTTGTTGCAGTTGGATTTACATGAACCCCCTGTCTCACAGGTTGTGGCCCTTTACTTATCTTCATCAAGCTCACCAACATCATGTTTTAGATTCTGTATCTTTTTCTTTAAATTTTTCTTATTTAACTTTAGTTATTGAACCTTTTTTCAGTGCATTGCTTGGGTTGAAGAAGCTAAATTGAACCAGCTGCGCAGAGATGGGATTCGTTATGCACGTATTGCCTTACGAGACAATGATATTTATTTTATTCCTAGAAATGTTATTCACCAATTTAGATCTGTTTCTGCTGTCACAAGCATCGCATGGCATATCAGGTGAGTAGCTTTTAAATTTATTTGTCATTTGAGTCATTCTTCAGTCAACAAAAAGTCACTTTGGAAATGAACAAGATAACTTATTTTTTTAAACAGAATTCTTAAAGATTCAAACTTTTTTATTTTTTTTTTTAATAAAATTAATGGCATAATATAGAATAAGGGTGTATTTTATGCAATTCAGCTCTTAATTTTAAAAAAACGAGTATATTGTTATTTTGATTTTTAAGATGTTCATTTGTTGTTCACCAAACAAATCTAATATTGACATCTTATTAATAAATCTTAACCTTCTAAAATTTAACATGATCTGCATGTGCATTGACCAATGTCATTTATTACTTGTAGTATGGATTAAATTATTGGCTTATAGTTAGTTTATTTTCTAAGATTGTATACACACTAAGTTTAGACTGATTACATTTTTTATTTATTTCAGATTAAAAATTTACTATAAACACCTATTTGAATGTGAAGCTGTCAATAAGAATGAAACCTGTGATACACCAGATGACTCTAATTTAGATCATAGAATAGAGGGCTCTACACTAGTGAAAAACTTAGTTTCACCTTCTAAGGAACAACGAAGTGCCGCTCACCCCTCTGCTCTTACCAAGTCTCCGGCTAAACTAGCCAACCCTGAATCAGCTATGACTGAAGTTTTCAAATCTCCCCAAAAACAGAAACATTCAGACAAGTCAAGCAAGGATAAACAGAAAGTACCTCAGTTGGGGGACAAGGGTAGAGAAACATCACACATCAAAGTTGACAGTAGAGAAACATCACACATCAAAGTTGACAGTAAAGAAACATCACACATCAAAGTTGACAGTAGAGAAACATCACACATCAAAGTTGACAGTAGAGAAACATCACACATCAAAGTTGACAGTAAAGAAACATCACACATCAAAGTTGACATTAGAGAAACATCACACAACAAAGTTGACAGTAAAGAAACATCACACAATAAAGTTGACAAGCCACAATCAAAAGCCGGCTCTGAGAAAGAGAACCATAAAAAAATGGATACTAAGGTATCAGCTGAAGGTGAAAGGTCAAGTCAGACTGGTAAACAAGTTGTTGAAAAGGTTAAGGACCCGGTGAAATCAAGTCATAAGGCAGCTCCAGCTAATGAAAGCTCTAGAGCTGGTGGTAGTGGGGACAAAACTAATGAACACACAGCCAAACCACACAAGCCACACAAAGCTGCTAAAAATAAGGATGATAAAAATAGTAGCAAGGATGATAAAAATAGTAGCAAGGATGATAAAAATAGCAATAAAGATTATAAAAGCAGCAGTAAGGATGATAAAAGTAGCTGTAAAGTTGATAAAAGCAGCAGTAAGGATGATAAAAGCAGTAAGGATGATAAAAGCAGCAGTAAGGATGATAAAAGCAGTAAGGATGATAAAAGCAGTAAGGATGTTAAAAGCAGTAAGGATGATAAAAGCAGTAAGGATGATAAAAGCAGTAAGGATGTTAAAAGCAGTAAGGATGATAAAAGCAGCAGTAAGGATGATAAAAGCAGCAGTAAGGATGATAAAAGTACCAGTAAAGTTGATAAAAGTAGCAGCCGAAAGGAGAAGAATGGCGTCAGTAAGGATGAGTTAACACATACACTCAGTAGTAGAGATAATTTGCTCAAACCAAGCAAAAGTAATAGCAGTAGAAATGACAAAAGCAGCAGTAAGGATGAAAAAAGTAGTAGCAAGAAAGATGATAAAAGCAGATGTAAGGATGAGAAACTTAGCAGTAGAAAGGATGAAAAAAGCATCAGCCGTAAAGATGTGAAAAGCTCCACCCTCAGTAACAGAGAAGACTCGTCCAAGCTAAGCTCCAAACACGAGCATGTGAAAACAAGCAAAGAGCTCAAGTCTAAGGGCAGTAGCAAGGATGAGAGAGCCAAGTTGGTCAACTACAGCAGCAGAGATGGGCACTCAAATCACAAGGCTAGCAGTGACAAACTTGTTTCATCCAAAGTAGATGGTCAGCCAAGTACTAAAGTAGATGGTCAGCCAAGTACTAAAATAGATGGTCAGCCAAGTACTAAAATAGATGGTCAGCCAAGTACTAAAGTAGATGGTCAGCCAAGTACTAAAATAGATGGTCAGCCAAGTACTAAAGTAGATGGTCAGCCAAGTACTAAAGTAGATGGTCAGCCAAGTACTAAAATAGATGGTCAGCCAAGTACTAAAGTAGATGGTCAGCCAAGTACTAAAATAGATGGTCAGCCAAGTACTAAAGTAGATGGTCAGCCAAGTACTAAAGTAGATGGTCAGCCAAGTACTAAAGCAGATGGTCAGCCAAGTACTAAAGCAGATGGTACCAAAATAGATGGTAAATCAAGCAGGAAACACAATGGTTCAGAAAGTAAACACAGGAATGAGAAAAAACTAAAGCTTGATGTTTCAACAAAGTCTACTGATACAACAAAAGGAGAGTTAGGGAGGTGTGACACATCTGATTCCAAGAAAATTGATGGGAATCAAATCAGTCAGACATCTGATTCCAAAAAAATTGATGAGAATCAAATGAGTCAACTGGTCAAGCCATCAAATAATGTTGGTATAGAAAAAGACAATGTAGTCCACAAGCATGTTGTGTTAGAGTTGGTCAGTGCAGAGTCAGGAGAGGCTGTACCAAGTGATACATTGGGACCTCAGCCCACTGCTATACCAAGTGATACGTTGGGGTTGGGACCTCAGCACACTACTATACCAAGTGATACGTTGGGGTTGGGACCTCAGCCCACTGCTATACCAAGTGATACGTTGGGGTTGGGACCTCAGCCCACTGCTATACCCAGTGATACGTTGGGACCTAAGCTCACTGTTATACCAAGTGATACGTTGGGACCTCAGCCCACTGAAACAAGTTCCATTCTACCTAACGACTTGGCACAGAATGACAGTCATGCTCCAGTTGGCGTCACTTCCATTGATGGTGACACTTCAGTTGGTGTCACTTCCATTGAAGGTGACACTCCAGTTGGTGTCACTTCCATTGATGGTGAAAACCAAACTCTGATCTCAACTGGCCTTGATAAGCAGACAATTGTCCCAACTGGCCTTGATAAGCAGACAATTGTCCCAACTGGCCTTGATAAGCAGACAATTGTCCCAACTGGCCTTGATAAGCAGACAATTGTCCCAACTAGCCTTGATAAGCAGACAATTGTCCCAACTGGCCTTGATAAGCAGACAATTGTCCCAACTGGCCTTGATAAGCAGACAATTGTCCCAACTGGCCTTGATAAGCAGACAATTGTCCCAACTGGCCTTGATAAGCAGACAATTGTCCCAACTGGCCTTGATAAGCAGACAATTGTCCCAACTGGCCTTGATAAGCAGACAGGCCTTAACTCCAAGAGAAAACTCTCGACTGAAGAAGACACAGCTATGACCAGTAAAAAACCTAAGTTGAGTGAATCTGTTGATGACCTGTAAAAAACCTAAGTTGAGTGAATCTGTTGATGACCATACAAGCTAGGTTCTAGCAAGATGGAGCTTGATGGCAGTAATTTTTATCACAGTTGAAAATATTGTTAACCAAAAGTTCAAACTAGGTTCATTTTGTTTGGCAGTTTAAAGTCAGTCTAACAACTTGAATGGCTGCCCAATTTAAGCTTTAGTTCATTGACTGGTGTTTGATTTGACAGTATTATCATACTAGATTCCTGCTACAGGATTCTGGTCGCAAGTAACTAGAGAATGTCCTACTATAGATAGTACTGTGATTTTTATCTAATCTAGGAGGTACGTGGTACTCTGAAGTTTATATTTTTACTTTTTCTGAAAATTTTTATTATGTAGTCCAATATAACACAATATTTTTGTAAATGTGTATGTAACATAGGATAAAAAATTGTACAAATTGTCCTATTTCTGATATCTTAGCAATTGACAGGGGAGACAAGTTTATCAATAAAACATATTAGTGAGTAACCTCCCTTGAAAAACCCAAACCCACTTATGAATTGAGACTTGAAACTGTTAAGTTAGTGTTATCATATCAACTGGAGCTAACCCATACTGGTAACAAAACTGTTTTGTTGGTACAACAGTAGCCTACCTGGTGTCTGCTTGTGAATCTCATGCTTGTAACTGTCTTCACTTGAGCTTGGATTATGCAATAAGTATATGCATATGAAATGTCCTCAATTTTTACTATTCATATTTTCAAATATTGTTCAGCCTTTTGCTTTTGTTTTCAGATCAGCTTATTTTTATTGCAAGTATTTTTTCATTGTTGAGTCACTTTTTGATTGTTACACTTCTGACAAGAATCCAATGTATGTACACATATTATGTATCCACTGTGTAGTTATATTGTATTTATTCCACTTTATTTGAATGGATCAAAATCTTGAAGAAGTGTTTTTGTAAAATAATTAGAATTAAATATTACTTTGATTAAATAATTAATGTAAAAAAAGTAAGTTAAAAATCATTGCTTGATTTCAGATCTATTCTATGAACATGAGTTTCTGCAAATATGTACCTCCATTATTCTCTATTCTGCTTCATTGTCTTTCTGCTCATCTTTTTCTTTAGTGCCAGATCACTGGAGGCTTGTGTATATGTAGCTCATGCAATCGTCTGGTTCTTCTCTAGCAGCAACTTTCTGTACTGCCACAGATCCATTCCACTCAGTCACAACATTGGTACCCCACATACAGGGGAGGGGGGGGGGTTGTAGGTCCCACATACAGGGAGGGGTGGATTGTAGGTCCCACATAGAGGGAGGGGGGGGGGGGGGTTTGTAGGTCCCACATACAGGGGAGGGGGGGTGAATTGTAGGTCCCACATTGAGGGAGGGGGGGGGGGGGTTTGTAGGTCCCACATAGAGGGGAAGGGGAATTGTAGATCCCATATAAGGGAAGTTTGTAGATAACCAATACCCGTTACACAGAATGGAGGGCTTGTTTGATTCTGTCCCACTTATGTCTCTAGTGCCCCACATTTATTGTGGTCCTAGTGGATCACCCCACATTGAAGCAATAAGACAACCACAATGTTGGGGGGGGGTATAGGTTTAACCCTACTTAGCAGGCAGCAGATTAAATTCTTTGTTTTCTGTGATCATCTTTGTTTTCACCACCACTCTTTGTTTTCTCACTTTGTATTCACATGTCCACCTCACACTGACCTCACCACACACTGACTTCACCACACACTGACCCCACCACACACTGACCCCACTACACACTGACCTCACCACACACTGACCCCACCACAGTGACTTCACCACACACTGACCTCACCAAGCACTGTCCTTACTACGCAATGACCTCACCACAATACATCACCACACACTAACATCTCACACCTACCTGTCCTCTGAACCACAACACATTCTTGGGTTACTCTCTTGACAAACAAGACAGTAGAGACCACATTAGACTAAGCCACTGACACACCACACTCATGCAACCATAAACATGGACACACCACATTTAAAAGGCCTCAGACACCACCCAAGCCCCCTCCTGTGTACAAAGAAGTTGTAATAAAGTTTTATTTGAAATTGTCTACGTTTTCTTGTTTTCAATATTTTATCAAGTGTGGGAAAGGTATTTGATAAACATCACATCCGTTAAGGTCAGACTAGTCATACGAAGCCCGTGAGGGGTGGGTAGGGTTGATCTCTTGTAATGCAACCCAAACTACTTTGGTCAAATTGGTTTAGGAGGAAACCAGACAGGTGTGGGTCAGGGTGACCTGTGACGTCAGCACTAGTCTCGGCGTGACAGGTTTTAAAGTATTAGGCATTTTTATCAACAAAAGGGGAGATAACAGATATAAGTGATCGGAGGCGAGTAGTGTTTCCAGATTTCTTCACACCTTAAATGCGGTGGCAAAACAACACCCAAGAAAAACTAGCACAAGAAGTATTGTACAACACACAAGAGAAACTAGAAGATAACTCCTCTTAGACACAAGTGGCCAAACACATCCTGTGAGTTTTAATGGCATCCCCCTCCTCGAATCGACCATACTGTGGTAAACCCTGGCTCACCCGACTTCAACAAGCCAGAGCAGGAAGCTGAGCCTGCTCTTACAGTGGTATTCAGACTGTATTTGTTTTAAAAAGTAAGCTACTCTAAGCCCCGGAACGCGTACTTGCCGGTGTTGTGACCCAAACGATTCCACGCTGATGTAGAATGTGGTGTGTTGGGCCACGCCATCCAGCCAGGGTACGATGTCCGAATACCTCAACCTTACTCGCGGAGTTACAGGCTCGTTGTGACTCGTTAACAGGATGCAAGGGGTCCGGAAAATGTTCGAGAAAATTCTTTAGGTCGTCGTGACGCCTAAACTCATCACGTGAAGTGTGTGGGATGAACAGTGTTTCCGACATTTTTCTCCCGAGGGTACTTGAAACTGGGGTGTGAGGAGGGGGGTGGGGGGGCGAAGACACTAATTAAAGTATATATTATCTCTCCCACTCACCCCGAAAAAAATGCATGAAAGAAACAATAGTGTTGAGAAAAATGGCTGATTGTATTGTATTGTATCTGCGAGGGCTGAGCATTGTGCTGCCCACTAAGTGCCCACAAGTGAGTGGCTGGGCATTGTACTTCTTACACGTATGATGCCTGGGCAGAGTGCTGCTTATACGTCAGGCGGCTGGGCATTGTGCAACCTACACGACACCCACGCTAAGGCATTAACAAGTATCAGGTGTCCATTTGATCTCATGTACGTATAAAACTTCATGCCACAAAATGTGATATTTCCTAACATCACTATGAGAGTCGTCAGTATCTACATACATACTAAGTTATGGCTATGGACCTCCCCCCGCCCCCCCACCCACGTTTATTCGCCCCCCCCCCCCCCCAGCCATTCTGAAACGAAAGAAAAATATCCAAAATATACGTAACAAATAAATAAATAAACCTTAAATAAAAAACCAAATTTGCTAACGATTGTTTGGCATCCTTTATATCCTTTTTAGCATTTTGATTGTTTGGGACCCCTTTGGGACACGTTGTAGCCGAAATACAACATGCGACCACGTGATGGCCCCTATTATCTCAAGCATCTTGGGGCCTCATCAAATCTAAATTCGGTCTTGCTCCAGGGTATTCCATCAATTTTTGTTTTTAAGAAACAACAAAGTAACAATTTCTTTCTTTTTTAACCACTTGTCTACCAAAAAGAAGAAATACAAATTTGGTTTGTTTCGAAAAACTAGTTTGAAGAAAGTGGTTCGTTTTTGGAGAATTCACGAAAGTGGGTTGGGACTTTGTGTATACTAGAAAGTGGTTTAAGGTTGATTAAGGTTGAGGCTTTATAGAAGACGGTTGGGCTTTATAGGACATAGGGTTGGGCTTTATAGAAGACAGTGGGTTGGGCTTTATGGAAGACAGTGGGTTGGGCTTTATAGAAGACAGTGGGTTGGGCTTTATAGAAGACAGTGGGTTGGGCTTTATAGAAGACAGTGGGTTGGGCTTTATAGAAGACAGTGAGTTGGGTTTTAGACAGTGGGTTGGGCTTTATGGAAGACAGTGGTTTGGGTTTTGTTGTATAGAAGACAGTGGGTTGGGTTTTATTGTATAGAAGACAGTGGGTTGGGTTTTATTGTATAGAAGACAGTGTGTGGGGGTTTTATTGTATAGAAGACAGTGGGTTGGGGTTTACAGAAGAAAGTGGGTTTGGGTTTTATTGTATAGAAGACATTGGGTTTGGGTTTTATTGTATAGAAGACAGTGTGTTGGTTTCATTGGGCCCCAGACTACCAGTAGCCAATAAATCGATATTTGTCACAGGGCCTAGTGATCTCCAGAAAGACAAGAGTTTATTACATTATTGCTTTCCGGGGGTCGGGTGTTGAACTGATGGGGGAGGGGCGGCGCGGGTATTACCACAGTTTGGGGGGGGGGGGCGTAGTTATTTGATGTGTGACCCACATCAATGATGTTTCACAAGCCCGCCCCGGTACTTTCCCCAACCACAATGTATCAGTCAGACCGACACCATCCAATAATATCGTGTCACTCAACCTTTTTTAAAGCTGCTAAAAATGAAGGAGTCGCTTGTATACACAAGTCTACAAAGGTTTCCTGACTGCCCTCAAGGTTTTCCTTGGACGGGCTCAGGTTATGTTTTGCAAACGGCGACCCCAGCCGATTGAAACTACCACACGACGTGTCTAGTTGTGATGGTAATAAACCGGGAGTGATCTCCCCTAAACTTTCTCGAATATTCTTATATAACTGGAAATATAGACATGATTTTTAATTACTTAAACTTTTATTAAAAATAGAATAGAATCTCATAGAAAAAAGAATTGCGCACCAAGCGAACGCCAAAACAAAATAGTGCGCAATATTATTAGTACTTTATAAATTTACATGCGTTTTTTGAGAAATCGAAAATAGCGTAAATTAGTACTTCCGGTCAACGGAAATTACTCAAAATTTGATAGAAGGCAGAGAATTAGATCATTTACTTACATGTGAAATTTCATTTATCTATCTGATATAGTACTCAAAGTATAGGCTTTTGAAAAATTCAAAGTATAAAAATTACCACTTCCGGTTATCGGAAATCGCTCAAAAGTTGATCAGGATCTACGATTTTGATAAAATACTATGAAATTTCATCAACCTAGCTGTAACGGTACTCAAGTTATCGTGTTTACACACACAGACAGACACACAGACACGCAGACATACGGACAAGATTGCAAAATTATGTTTTTCCGTATCAGTGAGGTGTAAAACGTCGAGATTTGTAAAAATCTCGATTTTTTTTTTTTGCACGATTACAAGAGTTACTCTATACGAGAAAGTAAAAATGATATAGCTCCAGCACTAACAGGGAAGTAATCACTAGTTATTTTATTGAAGCACATACGATTTGATGTTTTCTGTCCTACTAAAGAACTATTTTATTGTTACCTTAGCTAGAGACTAGTAGCTAGTATTTTGACAGGAAGTCCATTGCAATGTTAAATGGTGTTTTCATTTTTAAAATCAGTGCATTATTTATGCCAACAACAGCTCTTTCACGAGCATAAGAATACGCTCATCCAACATCTTGAATCAGTAAACCCGACACTTCTACAGGGAAACAATATTACAATAGCTTCAACGGTAAATAGAAAAAAAACAGTGGAAAGATATTGGGACATGGGAAGTGGAAAGAAAATAGTAAGTGGGGTAAGGGGGTAGGTGGGGGTGTGGTTTTGTTTGAGGTGGTGGGTGGGGAGAGGCGTGATTCTTAGGGGTAGGGGTGTAAGCAATAAAGGGAATTCATTATTCGTCTGCTCTACATTTGTCTGTCGTCTGGTCCTCTCTTTACATGCAAGTTATTTTAGTTGTCTGGTCACGTGAGCGTGGCGTGTTATTTGCTCCACCGTAAGTCCATTCATTGCTTGAAAGACATCGACCAACGAACTATTTTAGACCGACGAATCAACCAACGAGCTATTTTAGACCGACGAATCAACCATCGAACTATCTTAGTCTGACCATCAACCAACAAACTATTTTAGCCCCAGTCTTGTCAAGGTCAAGTGAGTTCTGGAACTCGAGTGCGCCATGCCACGACCTCCTCTCGTACCCTCAACTATCATTAGTCCAGGGGATAATTTCAGACCCACTGGACACTAGGTCTCAGCCATTTAATGACCGATGGCACTGTGATACACTTTAATGACAGATGGCACTGTGATACACTTTAATGACAGATGGCAA